TCAGCCACTTTATAAAACTCACACTTTGAAGATGTAAAGTATTCTGGAAAACACCCCTCGGTACGGGGGTGGCAGCAGATCCTGGTGCTGAGGGCTCTGTGGTTGACCTTCCAGCAAAGGGGCAACTGGTCCACATCCCCAGAGCTCAGTGCCTGGCCCGTCATGAGCACTTGAACTGTGCAGCGTGTGGCAGGCAGCCCTGCATCCAGTGCTAGCTCTGCCTCTCCTGTGGTCCCATTGCTAAGATGGGCTGATGGCGCCTACCTGCTGGGCTGGCTCTGAGGATGAAGGGAGAGAGTGAATGTCACCTGCTTAACAGTGCTTGGCAACGGCAGTGGTTGTGGTTGCTGGGGTGGGGGGGGTGAAATAGTGGCAGGGACTCGGGGAATGGATGTGGTCTGTAGCTTGACTGTGGTGGTCATTACAGAACTGGACACGGTCCTCAAAGCTCATGGAACTGGGTGCGTGTTCAGGTGTAGACAAAGGTGTCCCCTGCTGCTGCCCCCTTCTCTCCCGATGGCTCCTCTCCGGCCTTGGCCCGTGTCCCTCTGGCCCCAGAGCCCTGGATGACCACATGCCCACTTCTCAGGTACTCGGCCCACCCTGTCTGTGCCCCAGGCTGCAGGTTTCCTGCTGGGGTGTGGCAGGGGTCCCTGAGCTGGTCCTCCCTGCACAGAGGACAGGCTGTGCCTCACCCATCAGTATTGGGCAGAGCCTGGGCCCAGGAGGGAGAAGGCATGCTGGCCCTGGAGTTCCCGGCGCCTGGTGTGGAGTGGTCAGTGTTGTAGAGTGAGGGGTGAACGTGAAGGGTTGGGCAGGTGACCAGCTCCCCTCCACCTGGCACAGTGACCCTGGGCTGAGCCTCAGTGTCCCCACCTGTAGAATGGATCTGCTGTTGCCATGTGGATGAGTGGCTCATCCATGAGGTGGGTGAGGTGGGGGTCTTTCTAGCAGCTCTTGGGCTTTGGGGGCCCAGCCACAGACACTGGGGGTGGCCCCAGACCACAGTGCCTGCTGGCCTAGGGAGCCCACGCAGCACATACCCCAGGTGCTCACCCTGGAGACCTGCTGGGGGTGGGGTGGGGGCCCCTTCCCTCTCCCTTCCTCCCCCATCCTTCCCCCCGAGCAAGGGCCGCACCCTCTCCTGCTCTGTTCTGGTCCCAGCTGCCTGTCTTTCACTGGATGTGGGGCTGCACCTTCCTTCTAGAAGCCTGGGGACCCTAGAGGGGTTGGGCAGGGACAAAACCCTGGCAGGCCCAGCTGGAGGGCACCAGCCACAAGGCTTGGCCTGACTGTGGGTGGGTTCTCCACCCTCCATGCCCCAGGCTTCCTCCCTCTTCACCACCACAGGACGGGGTCCTGAGGGGAGGCCAGAACCATCCTCAGAGCTGGAAGTCCAGGGCCGGGTCTGGGCTTAGCTGCCAAACAAGGAGGCACTGCAGCCCCTATCCTGGCAGCCAGGGTACCTCTAGTGGACCTGGCGTGGCACTAGCCCGGGTAGTGACTGGTCACCAGGTGCCGCCCAGAGGGGCAGAGTGGGATCCCTTTTGGGGCTCTGGGTAGAGGGTGCAGACGTCCCCCTCAGGGTTGGTGGGGGGAGAGGAGCCTCCAGGTGACTCTCCTTCTGGGGCCCCCTCCTGCCCCTCCTCTCAGCTCCACCGAGCGTTACACCCCAAAGGCACATCCCTTCTCCAGGCATCTTCCCATCTCACGCTCTTTTATTCATTCGTTCACTCTGCCTTGTGTCCCTGCTGTGCCCCAGGTACTGCCATACTGGTGCATTGGTCTGTCTCCTGCTGGCGGCAGGTCCCTGGCCTCAGGCTCTGCCCAGGACACAGCACAGTGAGCACCCACCCGTGTGCTGCCCCATCTCTCCCAGGAAAGCACTGCTGTTTCAAGGCCAACAGAGACAGCTCCAGCTCCTCCACCCAGAAGGTGCCTCCAGCCCCAGTAGCGGTCACAGAGTCACCGTGCCTGCCACCTGCCTCTTCTGCTGGCTCCTGGTCACTCTGGTTCAGGTTATGGGGGCATCTGTCCTCTCTCCTAACAAGGCTCTGGGGCAGGGGGCCCCAGGGATCCTGGTACAGGGAGGATGGAGCCCAGTGAAGTGCTCCGGTGAGAGCAGCACTGGGGTGGGACAAGGACAAGGCCCTGTGCTCTGTGCCTCAGACTTCTCTTCTGTAGAAAGGGTAGGTCCTGACTCCTTCCCTCGGGGTAATCCATGGCAGCGTCTGGCAAGTGGCACTGCAGGTCAGTGCGCCCAGCTGGTGTGGGCCGAGCCCTCTTGACATGACACGGACAGTGGGCTGGAGTGCTGGTCCAGCGTGCTTGGTGTGCACGCGGCCCTGGTCTGACCCTCCATGTGAGACCCAACAGTGACCTCTGGTCTGCTGCTCCTTCACCACAACTCCCTCCTCGGCTGCAGGAGGGTTTTGAGTTGCTTTTCAGTTTCACATGAGATCGTCAAACCCAAGGAGAGCTATTAGTTTAATGGGGCACAGACTGTATCCCCTGATCCACTGGAAACCTTCAGTGGTTATCCACGTAAGTACTGAAGAGCAGGTGGATAGAACTTACTCAGTCACAAGGCTTCTGACAAACCCAAAGGTGACCTGAGGTGGTTGTCATGGGTCCAGATGGGGTAGAAGACTCAGCTCCCTTCCCCAGCATGGGTGCCCCCAGGTGCCTGTTCTGGCCTGGCTCACACAACCTGGCCAGAACCGCTTGACTCATAGAAGGTATGAAAGGATGGCTGTGTGGACCCCTGTGGCTTCGCTGGTCTGCATAGCAAACCTCCATCCCCTACCCCACCCCAGCCCCATGTGTTGCTGGCCCTGCTCCCTGCACCAGCCACGCTGGCCTCCAGCTCTTCCAGGAGGCTGCAGGGAGACTTTTTCCCACCAGTCACAGTGACAGCTGGCTTGGCTTGGCTCTAAAGTCTTTATAGGACCAGCCTCACCAGGCCCAGAACCTGCATGGAGGCCCTGGCCTGGCATTTGGGGGCTGCATCCCTGGTGTCTCCCGTAACACCCAAACCCAAGGATGCCCAGGAGGCTATGCTCTCACCTCCTTGGGGTTTCTTCCCAGTGTCACTCCCTTTTTGACTTAAAAGAGCCCTCACCCCATCTGGTCCCTCTCCTCTCAAGCTGTACCACCTGATGCATTAAGCATTTGTCTGACCTCAGGACCTGGCCAGCTTGAAGCCCCCACTTCAAGTCCAGCCCTTGCCCCCATGCTGAGAGTGAGCACACAGGTGCCAGGCTCCTCTTCCCAATCTGACCCCTTCCCACCTCCCCCACAAACCTCAGGGCCTGGGGACTCAAATGAGAGCGCTCTGGACCACATGATCCCTAAGGCCTCTCCCAGCCCCAGTGACCCTGCTCACGTTCCCCTGCCTGCACCCTTTAAATCTCGTCTGAAACAAACCCATGAAGACAGCCGCGGACGAGAGGTCCGGCCTCGGGGCTGCCCCGTGAGGTGGGGGTGCAGGGCGGTGTCCGCTGCGGGGGCCAGTGGAGCGGGGTACGGCCAGAAGCTAGCATCCTGGGTCAGGCGCTCATTTCATCCCCCGAGGATGGAATGCTGGAGGGGAGGCAGGGCCCCTCCCAAAGGCCAGTCCGCTGACCGCCAGCCTCACCTCCTGGAGACCGCCCCCAAGAGGTCCGGCCGGCCGGACCACGGTGCTCAGACGAACAAGTGCCCACCCTTCTCTCCTGCCCGTAGCCCTGGACCACGGACTCTGGGCACCCGCCGCCCTGCCCGTCACTGGGCCGAGCCTCAAGGAGACCCGAGAGGGCTAGCGACCTGCCCAAGGTCATACAGCGAATTACAGGAAGGGCGGGGTCGGCGGCGACGGCGAGTTAGGGTTCTGGGCCGGAAGGTGCGCGAAGTGGGGCCCGAACCGCCGGCTGGGCCAAGCCCTTGGCGCTGGCCAAGCCACCCACCTCTGAGCCCAGCGTCCCCCGCGCCACCAGCCTTGAGTCGCCGCCTCCGCCC